CTTTGTGCGAACTATTAATAGTTTCTTAAAGGTTACCACGAAGTTCAATCAAAGTTACGTGAGGGAATTTTCAATAAAGCCCAAACTTTCAAAGGTGTCTCTCTTCCTCCCCCTCTCTCTCTCACTCTCTCTCTTTTTAGTTGGAGCATGGCAACCTCAATCATTGATTAAGAGAATCAGCTTATTATATGTTTAATGATTTATAGTCAGATAAATTTAAATGTAATTGTATAATGGGACAGCTGTCTGTTTCGATGTTGATGTTCTATTTTGCATTTGGGTTTTCTGTTTATATATATATATATATATATATGTGTGTGTGTGAGCTAATGCTTACTCACATGACACTTTCGGGCTATAATAATAATAATATTATTATATATACATTACATATCTCTGTCCATAGCGCGCATTATTATTGCGTTGATGTTCCAACACGCGTACATATGTATATCGATACATATGTGTACCTGCAATATGTACTTGTCTACTCATATCAATTATGTCACAATTCGATTTTGAATATTCATATTCTTTAATTTCGTATTCTTATATATTGTATTCAATGTTAACGCTTGAGAAAAACCCTCTCTTTCTCTCTCTCTCTCCCTCTCTCGCCCTCAAGAGCCATGAAGAATGCGAGTCGATGACTCTCAATACACACAATTCAGGCGTCGCAATCCCGGCATCGCCTTTATTTACGTAATTCGGAATATTCGCTGAACTTTCACACGTCGCTGTCCGCGATTGACGGACCGAAACGAAACAGATCTTCGGCGTGCCGATGCCCGCGGCAAGTAGAAAAATCCCGTGTCGCAACGGTGATGCGCGAGGCAGAACGCTGAACGCGTTCGGATAATCTTGCCGACGAAAGAGGGACGTAAAACCAGACCGTAGGACGGAGAACGCTTCTGTCCTACAACCTGGCTGGAAAAATGGCACAACGCGCGTCCAGTCAATCGACGGGTCGATATCACCGGCACACTGCGTCGATATTAAACACACCTCCGACGCGGACAATCGATAATCACCGTCGCTACTCGATAAACCGCGCGCGCGCCCGCGTTGCTGCGTCGAACTTCGGCCTCTCGAGCAAACCACCCCCGTAAGACGGAAGGGAGAGGAGCGAGAGAGAAGGGAAGGTAGGAAAAAGGAGCGAACGAACGGAGGTGCATATTCGGCTGGTCAAGTTCGATAGAGTTTCGCCTAATCAAGAGGATCCACACAACACGCAGCGAACGTGATGCACGCGGGGGTACGGGGTGCCGGACGCGGTCGAGTGGTCCCTGGGCCACCCCTGGCTCGCCACCCTCCCCTCGCCGCTCCCTGCAGCCTTCTCCGCCGTTCCTCCTGCCGGTCGCCCCGCGCCCTTCGGCCCCCTCGCGTCTCCTCTCGACCCCTGCGTATCGAGTTCGTTACAGATCCCCGTGGCGAGATCCCCGCCGCTCTCTCGCACCCCCTGATTCGCTGTCTCTCTCTTTCTCTCTCCGAGGCCTCCGCTCAGCCCGCGTCCCCGTCGCGAGGCCCCCGGCCCCTCGCGCGCGCAAGAGCGCGCGCGGCACCCTCCGTCGCCGCGGAGGCTCTCCGGCGTGGCGTAGCATTCGCGATTTGCGCAACTCCGTGCGCGACGCGCTCTCGTTTTCTCCGTCGTCGTGTGTTCCCACAACACCAGCACGGCGAGGACTCGCGCGACCTCGTGAAAGCGCGCGAGCCGAGGCCGCGAGGTTCTCGTCCGACGATCACGGAAGCGCGATTATCCCGGGGAGAAGAAGTAGCGGAAGCGGGAGCCGGAGAGAGAGGACGGTCCAGCCGCCGCTCGTGGCGGTCGCTTCCTCCTCGACGGCGGGGGAGGGGGTGGCGGCGGGAGAACGGAGGAAGAGTTCGTCCCGGGCGAGGGAACTCGAGTTGCACGGAGACGACGCCGACGTACGTAGGAGAAGAGACGCGCGTCGTCGGTCAAGAGAAAGATAGAGAGAGAGGGGGGGAAAAGGAAAGAACGAGCGAGCGGGGAAGCGCGCGAGGGTTGCGAAGAGAGAAGAGAGGAGGCGGCGAGGGAGGTCGCGGGGAAAGAGCGAAGGAGAGAAAGAAAGAGAGATCAAGCGAGATAGAGAAAGAGAGCGGAGGAGAGAGCGTCGCGCTTCCAAGCGTGCGCACGCGAGCGAGCGAGCGGACAAGCGAGCCGGCGTCGGCGAGTCGTGACGGACCGAGGAGGATCGTCGCGAGAGTCATCGCCGCAGCCAGGATACGCGAAGAGATCGCGCGAAATCTCCCATCGAGCGGGCCGGTCGACCGAGATCGTCGTGTCGTTGTTGTCGCGACGACTTCGACCGCACGGGAGAAAGCGAGAAGGAGAGAGAGAGGGGTGG